CTTCTCCCTCTCTGCCTACGGTTTACCGTGGAGGTTTTTTTTTTTTTTTTTTTTTTTTTTTTTTCCCATGTTCTCCTTGGAACTTAGCCCATACGGGCTCAGTGGCTACGGCTTACATCAATCAATCAGATTAGCACCGAGATAGCTCAAGAGAAAGGCAGAGGTCACCTAGCCTTGGACTGCTCTCAAGGGCGAGCCAGGCGGAGCCATCCACCGTCTCCGGGGACATACCGGTAGTGCCATAGTGGAATGTTTGTTTCAAGCAGGTGAATAGACACTACATTTTTCACTACTCTCCCCTCTTCCAATCTTTTCTTTCTGTCCTGTCTCTTCTCTCTCCTGCCTGTTGTCTTCTCCTCTTTCCTCCTTTCCTCCTCTCTTCTTTCTCCTGTTCTCCTTCCTTCTCCTCCCTTCGCCTCCCTTCTCCTGCCTTCTCTTTCCTTCGCCTCCCTTCTCCTCCCTTCTCCTCCCTTCTCCTCCCTTCTCCTCCCTTCTCCTCCCTTCTCCTCCCTTCTCCTTCATTCTCCTCCATTCTCCCGCCTTCTCCTCCCTTCTCCTCTTCAAGAAAGGAGTGGTGGTTTGACAGCCGGATTGCTTTGTGACAATCTGTCAATCTGGATCCTTGCGGTCGGGGGGGAGTAGCCCTTTACGGTCTTCGTCCGAATAGAATGCACGGTCATGATCTCTGTATTGTCACTGTTATTCCACGTACAGCTATTATGAACGTGCGGTCTATTCGGGGGAATACGGTATGGAGAGTTGCAGCTTTGAACCAGCGATGATGGGTTCGGCCTACCTACCGTGTGTTCTATTCGGGGGAAGACGGTAGGCTTTGCATCAGATTGACAATGAAAGCCGAGGATCAAACCTAGCCGGAGATGAACGAGCGGGGCCCACACATGCTAAGCTCGTGCTTAGAACGCATGATAATCTGGTCGTTAAAATGGCCAGGTTCGTGCTGTGTTAGCACGAGCAGAACACTACTCTAATTCTCTAACAAGTTACTGAGACATGTGCCCTCGGATGAGATCTGTTCAATACTGAACTGCCATTTTCCTGAACATGAGATGCGGCATCCTCATCACGACTGCATCGGCCCGGAAACATGGCTTGTATGCATTCATCAACAGGGTGAGTTGAGTTCGGGGTAAGACTGTAGCAGGCATAGCGCTTGGTTCTCTCTTGCTTTATCGTAATAAGGTCCAGCCTCACAGAAGTTAAGTTTGCCATAATCCGATTGTGAAACCGATCAAGTTACATGCTAACCTAGGTCAAATACAGCATCACCTATCAGTGAGGCTTCCGCCCAAGGGCTTATGAGGGACGCGCCCTTCTCCACTGACTCCGTTCCCTTGTTGAACTTGAATGGTGGACAGCTGTTATGGCGAGCACCAACCTCACCGATCTCCGTCATCCTCAAGTCCTGCATTGACATCAATTTCTCTCTCTCTCTCTCTCTCTCTCTCTCTCTCTCTCTCTCTCTCTCTCTCTCTCTCTCTNTCTCTCTCTCTCTCTCTCTCTCTCTCTCTCTCTCTCTCTCTCTCTCTCTCTCTCTCTCTCTCTCTCTCTCTCTCTCTCTCTCTCTGTGTGTGTGATTGTGGGCCATCGTAAGGAAGCAGTGCCAGGATCAAGAAGGTGTTAAATGGCAGACTAGTCTCTTTCTCTGTGTCTATTTGTGGGCCATCGTAAGGAAGCAGTTAAGGGCCAGGATCAAGAAGGGGTTAATTGGCAGACTAGGTGGGCCCCGCCGGCACGGGAGGTGGAGCTGAGCATGAACCTAATCACGTTTTTAATGTCTTGTGCAGTGTGCACCCTTTTCTTGTGTATTCTTTCCTTCCTGAAGTTCCTGTCCACCTGTTTCTCCAAGATCTTCTATTCTAATATAGACTATATAGTCAAAATAATTGAAAATATATGTTCTATAAGTTCGAACTTGTAGAACATATACTTCGACTATATATTACCACCACCAGGATAGAGGCCTTGCACATGGGCTTTAAAAAAAAGAAAAAAAGAAAAAAAGAAAAAAAGAAAAAAAGAAAAGATCTTAGCCTCAGCATAGATCAATCCTGCAAATTAGAATTGAAATTGAAAGTAGACGGTGCTAGACGCAAAGTGAGTGGCTTGCCGCTTTCTTTCTTTCGGAGAAACAGGTGCACAGGAACTTCAGGAAGGAAAGAAGTTCGAACTTACAAAGCTTCTGGCTCTTTCCTTTTTTTTACCTTGTGATGATGGCACACAGCTTTGTGAACGAAGCGATCACATACGAAAGCTCTCAAAGAGGATTGGAGACGGATGCAACCGGCTTATGAAGCGCTGGAAGAGGGTAAGTAAGAGGATAGTACCACAATTTAGGTTCTGCCATGCATGATATGATTCTGTTCTTGACGCTGTCATCACCATTGTCATCATTATCATCATAGTGATTATCACCGCCCTTGTCCTCGTCCGCAACATCGCCATTGTTAGAGTTGGCTTTGCCGAATTCGCCACATCATCCTTATCCTTTTTAACTCTTCATAAATGGTTTACTTGACCCTGTTTACCATTTTCCTCCCAACTCTGTCTCCCCTCTTTCTCGCCGCCATCATCATCATCATCATCATCATCATCATCAGCATCATCATCATCATCAGCATCACAATCACATTAGCATGACCATCATAATAATTATCCCATCCCCGTTGTAATGCTAGTGTTCATTCTCGTGGATTTCTCACTTCGCGCAGACCAAGTACGGTTATGATGATCATGGCCTTGGAAGACCTGCCTGGGGCAGGAAACATGGGTCAAGCTCCTCTTGTCTCCTGAACAAAGGAAAAATATGACAAAAGGATAAAAATAGGGTTTAGGGTTTAGGGTTTCTCTCAGGCTCATTTGAAGGAGATAATGGCAGAAAGCTATATGCTGCGATCTTCATGCCGGATGCCGCAGGGCAGTATGTTATGCGTAGAGTCTGTAGACCAGCATACATGATATGTCTCTTTTCGTGTGGCGCGGTGTGCCCCCTCAGCAACTAGGCCAAAGGTGGATCTGTCGTGCGGGCCTTTAAAAAGGCATGATGTCATCGCGCTTGGAACAGAGGATTGTGCACCCAATAATTAAGGACCGACCGATCACTGTCCAAAAACTTCAAAACTTTATGACTTGTGCAGGCTACCGTCTTCACCCGAATAGAACGCCCGGCCATTATCGCTGTATGTAGACTGAAAATTGCACCAAGTACGGCTATAATGACCGGGCGTTCTATTCGGGTGACGACGGTAGGTAGGCTATAAAAGAGGTCGCAGATCAAATTTTCACCACTCTGAAGAAAAAAAAAATGCATGACTGGAAACTTGTGACAGACATACTGCTTCTTGAATATCGATTTATTCAAATTATTGATTATTATTCTGGCCTCCCAATTTACTGTTGATCTGTTTGTAAGAAAACTTCATGCGTCCTTAGGGACATCCAAAACTGGAATGATACAGAGAAGATTAGAACTGCCCCTGCGCAAGGATGACACACACACAAATCGAGAAATGGTCCAATTTTTTTCGGAGGGAAACAAAAAGAAAAAGTATAGCTTGCTTGAGCGCAAGACACTCCTGTCAGTTTTCACACGAAGTCGAACGGGAGGTAATTATAATTATAGCCGTACATAGTGGCATTTCCAGGCCAACCAGATACAGATTACTTCGACGGAAGTTTGACCCCACAATTTGGGGAAAGATTGTTAGCCTCAGATGCAGGGCATGGTCGACGCACTGAAATGACCTCATCTTCTTTACTATGAAAAAAAACAACTTCTGGAAACTAGCTTGGGAGTGGGAACATGTTTCTTGCCCAAGGATTTCAAGTCTGCCATGGCTCTCACAGGCAGGTCCTTTACAACCCTACCCATGGAACCCTAAATCCGAAACCCACAACCCAACCCCCCCCAACCCAAACCCCCCTAAACCCAAAACCCTAAACCCTAAACCCTACACCCTAAACCCTACACCCTAAACCCTAACGCTTAATTCCCCCTCCTCTGTGTTACTTTCTTCCGTCATGTCTGCTCTTTTACCGTATGCGGCATGTTTTGAAACCCAAAAGGCAACCCCCCCCCTGCTCTTAAACCCTAAACACATTTTTTGGCATATGTACTATTCCTCTTGATGCCTCTCCATCTCTTCCATTCCCTTGTGGTCCTACTCTCTTCGCAACATTTTCGAATGGCCTGGGAACAGCCTTGCTCAGCCACTCACCAGTCAGTTCCTGATTGCCTCCTAAGAGCTGTTTTACCAAACTGTGGTCCTTTTTTTTTGTTGTTGTTGAAATATCGGTGGATGCGGCATGTTTTAAAAGTTGAAACCCGAAAGGCGAAAAAACACTCGCGCCGGCAAACAAACGACGTGCCAACTCGAAATGAGCAATTTCGGTCCAAAAGTATCTGTTGGTCTTTTTTTTGTTTTGTTTTTTTTGTTTCCCCCCCTGACACTACGGCCGACCGCTGTAAATATGACCCCCGGTCTGATACCACGGACCACGGCCGCCCCCTGTAAATATGACACCTGGTCTGACACCACGGCCGTCGGTACTGTTGTTGCCTTTTCGAACTCGGCGCGGTTTTCTTTGCCGATGCGTGTTTTTTTTGCCCATTCAATACTCAAAAGTGACACGAACGTACTTACCTCCATTTTCTTTTTCCAGTCATTTTGACTGCAGTGGAGCTCGAACTCAGGTCTGTATTTCAACAGTTCAGGGGTGTACCAACTGAGCTAGGCCATTCTTCTGAGATTACTTACTTTAAAGGACCCTTACGGCTCTGCTTTCCTCAGTCCTCTCATCTGCCAGATGCCACTTGCATAAGCGCACTGTCTACCCCGAACGTAATGCACCCTCATTATGAATGTATACAAGCTGTCTTTCTGGTTCAATGCAGTCATAATGAGGGTGTGTTATGTTTGGGGGAAAATGGTAGCATTCTCGGGGGCCAACAAGTTTGGCAGAGGGTGCTTAGAAAATAACTCCAGTACTGCTGCTCCCACCAACATGGATGAAACTCTGACATCAATACTGTCTAGGCGCGCACTCTGATATCAGTACTGTCTGATGCAGCGGAACCAGATCTATCAGCAAATGTATGTTAGACACTTATATAGTGAATCACCCTCACACACATAACCACGAACCAGCTACTGAGATGCAAACGTACCAGGCACTGACATGACTACCCTCTTCCCTCGAACGTGAAGCCCCATCATTATGAACATATACAAAACCTTTTCCAGTCCAAGTACAGCTCTGATGCTGGGGCATTGTGTATCGTGTTCGGGGAAAGAAGGTACTGCAAGATGTATCAACAGTTATACTGATTTATGCTGCTGTCAACACAAAAAGAGATATGAATGCTATACAAATGCTATACTAGCCATGAGTCAGCTACAGAGATATGAATGCTCCAGAGGAGCACAAAAACTTCAAAAAGAGTGCAATGCATGGTTGAAAATAGTAGGGAAAAAAAGAAAAAAAGAAAAAAAGAAAAAAAGAAAAAAAGAAAAAAAGAAAAAAAGAAAAAAAGAAAAGAAAAAAGAAAGAAATGATTACTCTCTCTCTCTCTCTCTCTCACACACACACACACACACACACACACACACANCACACACACACACACACACACACACACACACACACACACACACACACACACACACACACACACACACACACACACACGCACATGCTTAACCACAAAAATGTGGCCAACCTTGCATCGTCTGATATATTGCCTTTATAAGTTTATAGTAGTTTATACTTTATGGATCAATTATCACGATCGTCAATCTCTGTGTTATGGATGGTTTGTGGATGACTTGTGGATGGAAAGAGGAGAGAGTTTGGGGCGGGTTCTTTGACAACACGCACTACTGTCGTGCTACTCTCTGTCCTGGCAGATGTGAGCGGTTAGGATCGGGCTCGTAATAGCGAGGTATTCTTCTTTTGTGGTTGGGTATGTATTGTTGGTTGTTTGTTTTTGTTATTTACACATGGCCTAATTCTTTGACCTGCTTTAGAGCATGGGTTGTCTCTTTGATGAAGGAATGTCTGTGGGTGGCCACGAGTCTTTTGGCGTAGGAAGGTATGTTTGGAGTTTTTGGCCATGGTATCTTTGGCAGGAGGGTCAGAGAGTGTTTGCTGTCGGTGCCATTTCCATGGGCTGCTCTTTAGGAGCACATGGAAGAAATGGGGGCTTCTAGGGTGTTTTAAGCAGTGGCGCTTCTGGAGTCGCGTGGAGACCTTGTGGTGTTTGGCATAGTTTGCGCAGTGGGCTCGGTAGAGCTAATAAGCTATGAGATATTTGATTTTGCAGATTGTCCGCCGAGGGAGGTTCATGGCACTCTTGGTGTTGGGTGAGAGGTCCTGTGGTGTTTGTTTGATTTATAGTGGCTTTGTGAGCTGACTCAGCGGGCTCTCTAAGTTCTTTTAGACCAATTGGGGGCGTGGTCGGTGCTTTCTTGTTTGTGGAGCCCTTTGTGTTGTGGTGCAACTAAATTTTTGCAGCTCCTGTGTTCTTCACAGGTGGTGGCAGCCAACGGTCTGTGGGATTTACTCGTGATGTGAGTTGGTGATGTGCCTCTTCACGCTGTGTTGGATGTTAGACTGCATTGTCTGCGCTCCGCTGCTGCCTTGCTGCCCGTCCTGCTTGCTTTGCATGTCGTTCTTTGCAGCTTCTGTGTTCACAGCGTGCTGTGGCTGTGTTGTTGCTGTTGCCTTGTGCTTCGCTGTGCTGCTGCCTTGCTGCTCATCCTCATGCCTTGCCTTCCGCGTTCTTTGCTTGTGTGCCATGTAGTTTGGCTGCTTTATTGGTGTTGCCTTCTGCTTCACTGCGCTGTTGCCGTGGTGCTTGTCCACTTGCTCTGTCGTTCATGCAGTTACTTTTGGTGTTGTGCAGTTGGTTGCACCGGCAGCATTGCCTGGTGCTTCGCTGAGATGTTGCCTGCTGCTATGTGTTTCACTTGTGGGCAGCCTGCTTTCAACAAGGGTCAAAGGGTACATGACCCAAAGCATCAATACGAGGATCGCGCAGATTGTTGAGGGTTCAGGCTCCTGATGAGACGATGCAAGTCCGATGATACAGTCTATCATCAGTTCTTTTTTTTTTTTGGTCTTTGTCTTTTTGTTGTACTTGTGATTTTTGTCTGTTTTCCTGTTCACCTTGCTGCTTTGGCCTCGCTATTGTTTGGCTCAATGCCTTTTCCCTTGCTACCCTGGGCTGCTCTGCCTGCCCGCCCGGCTGCCCGCCCGCCCCCGTGCCCTCCAGCCCATGTGTCTTGCTGCCGCTGGTCTTTCAACACATTGTGTTCCTGTCATTTGGTGCACTGCCTCTGGACTCCTGCTTGTGGCGTTGCCGTCTTGTCTGGCCATGTTGCTTGCCTGGCCGATTACTTACTTTTTGTCTTGCTGCTTTTTGCTTTGCTGCCTTTGCCTGTTAGCCCACTTCCTTCTGGATCGTTGTCTTTTGCCTTGCGCGTTTTTTCCTTTGTTGCTGCTGCGTTCTTTGGTTGTATTACTTTGAGGGTTATCTAATGACTCACTCACTCAGATCATCTCAGATGCATGTCGTCATCCTAAGGTGTTGTGATGGAATAGTGCATGGTCTTTTCCCATGCTGAGGAAAACCTATGTAAACACGCATCTCCAGATGCTCCACACACACACACACACACAATCAGCTTTATGTACGTATTTCCTGTTTCTGGATTTTTTCTTTGTACTTTCTTTGTCTAGTGAGCACCTTTAAGAAGTGCTAAACAGTCGATGTTTGGTTGTTTGGAGTGCCTGGTGGACTCCTAAGGGGGCCGCTCTATCTGTGGTGTCTGTGGTGCATATGGGCTATGGCTGATGGCAGATGTCTGTCGGAGTGGCTTCCTGGCTCAGCAGGTTACGGGAACCAACAGTCTGCAGGGTTCTTCTTCCAGTGTGAGTGGGTCTTGCATGGCTTTGCTACGTGTTGGATGTGTGGACTGCCTTGTCTATGCTCTGCAGCTGCCTTGCTGCTCATCCCGCTTGCTCCTCATGTCGTCCTTTGCAGCTGGTGTGTTGCTGTGTAGTTGGGCTGCGTTCTTGGTGTTGCCTCGTGCTTCGCTGCGCTGTTGCCTTGCTGTCCAGCTGCGTGCCTTGTCTTCCTGTAGCATTTTGCTTGTGTGATGTGCAGTTTTGCCGCTGCTGCTGGGCAGCTGTGTGCTTTACTGTGCTGTTGCTTTGCTGTCATTAGACTCATTATGCTTGCACTGTCGTTCCGTGCAGTTCACTTTGACAATTTGCAGATGGGTTACCGTGGCAGCAGTGCCTGGTGCTTCACTGAGTCGTTGCCTGGTGATGTGCTGCACTTGCGATGTTGCCTGCTAACAGTCTGCTTTCAACAAGGGTCCATGGCCTAAAGCATCAATATTGGGATTCCGCAGATTGTTGAGAGTTCAGCCTCCTGATGAGTCGGTACAACTCCGACGAAACAATCTTTTCATCGTCAGTTTTTTTTTTTTTTTTTTAATAGAAATAGAACCTCA